AGCTTCCTTAGTTGGTGATCATTTCCTATATTCTTGAGATCTTAATGTTTGATTCAGGGGTGACATTGTAAGGAGAAAATAGAAGTTTGTCACTCTTAGGGGTTAAAAGGTTAATCTTCAAATCAATTTTATGGCCTCTTCACCTGATTAAGTCCTCTGGCCCAGACATCATCCTGATAACCCAGCACTGATGTTGGTCCATAATGTCCTGTTCCCGTCAATGCAACAAGAAATCTCAACACAGCTTCCTTCTCTGTTGCATTTGTCTCTTTTGTGCTGTTAAATTTAATGGCACTGCTTGAGGGCTCTGTTTGAAAACAAAACTTTGCACAGTGAATTTAACAAGATGGGAAACGCAAAGTAAATGTTGAGTGATAGCATGCTGGATGGCATATCGTGGGGTAGGTCAAGTACAAAGTAGGTTATTGTGTTGTCTTCTTAGCCAAGAACACTTCATTTTAACTTCACTTCACAATGCCTTGCACTACCTTGAAGTATAAATGGGTACCAGTCCACTATCATGGAAGCCTAGTGAAATGCTGAGAGGGGGGTAATGTGCTGCTCAATTTGAACCTCTAATACTAAGGAAAATACAGGAATTTGACAGGAAATTTGAAAGGGGTCTGTGAAGTCTATGTTTTAAGGCTGGGTCAATGTATTCAAAGTCATAATTGCTGATTTTGCCTTTGGGTTTGCATTCGAACACAGTTTTTGCCCTGGGGGCAGGAACTTGTACAAACTAATCTTCAAAAGTTCAAATGCCCAGCGGGCTGCCAGGAAGGGGGAAAAATGTTGAGGCTTGATTGACTGCATAACCAGAAATGAAATGCATTCATCCTGAGCCTGAGAGAGTGCACAAACTCTTAGTTGTGTCAACCCACAGAAACAGGGGTGCACACAAGCAGCTATGGACCTCTGAGACCTAACCCTATGTTAAATGCATAGGGATCATTGTTTTAATGTTTGAATATTCAAAATTTTGTAAAATACCCAAATCTAAAACAATTTGATGCTCACATGTCTCACAGTACTTTTTTAACAAAGTAAATAAGGGACTTGCACCCACTTGTTATGTGACTCATAGTGCTGGAACTTATTGAATTTTCTTTGGCATGCACCAATAATAATAATGCCACATGTATGTACATTCCCCCTGGGTTGGTTGCTAATTTACTGCAGGTTAACCTTCAAAATCATTCGGATTTTCCTGTCAGTTCAGCTTCACTGAAACCATGAAGGCCTGCTGTGCACACTTAATAAAATAGCATTTAACGCCAATATCAAGGAGCTGAATAGCAAAGCGCAGCAATTTGTTGCATTCCATTCAATTACATGGTTGTACATACAGTGTACGTGCTAACAATAATTAAAAACAGTTATGGGAAATGTTTGCAGTCTCTTCCTATCTGAGTAGTTTCCTCTGCAGCTAATATAATCATACGGGCAAAACATAAGCTTATGCTTCCTCGATCACAATTTTCTCCGTAGATATCGAAATATATCTACGGACACACATCGTATATTAGACTTAAAATTTTAAACCTACCTTGCAAATTCCTCCACTGACAAACGAAATGATCCAATTTCTCCGCATCATCAAACCTCCTAGCTATCCTCAATTTGAATGCAGCGATCAACAGTTTATCATAAATATTGAATCGTAAATCATCTTTCTTCTCAGCTTTATCGCCAGTGCGAACTAACTCACTAATCCAAGGAGCTCGAAGTTTTTCGAAAAGGGTCTCGTAGAGGCAAACTTTTAAAGCCTTTTGCCTTTTATCCGTGTAACGTGGACGCCTGTAAATATCCCATCCTATGTTAGCTTCATTTTTGAAAGATTTCTCGCAGAGTTTGGAGAAAAGAAACGATAACCCTTCGCTTTCCTCATCCATATTCCTCCATTTTCCCCGCCAATAAAGATCAATATAAATGCTTGGTAACCATACCTTTTGTACTTCCCACGCGCGGTTCACGCGCAGCTAAATATGCAAAAAGTTCGAAATCACGCAACATCATACGTATGGATAACTTTATCGGTTACTCTTTGCACAATTTTTTTTTCCGGTATATTGTTCAAAAATTAATCCCCTTCTTTGAAATGAAAGGTGGCACGGCAAGATAAATTATGGTTGAAAAAATCTGATAAGACTTTGGACAGATATGTACTTAAAATTAAGGGGGCAGCGAATGGTTGAAGACTTGCAAGACGACAAAACCGGTAAACCCACGTCTAAAAATCCTAAACAATTTTAGCTACACAAAATCTTTAATTTTAACCATAAATTATGCTCAGATTAAGGCAGGGTACTTAAAATGACAGGGAAGTTTTGTGGTAGAACTGCGTTTAAATTGCGATGTATCAGCGGAATCTATACCATCGCGAGCCAAGGTCATTTTCAAACAACAGCGGTAAAGTACAGAACAGTTCGTTTCTCACAAAGATGACTCTAACTCGCCTCGGCTATCGCTTGATAGAGACCCTTCGCTATAAGAAAAAAAAATATCTGTCTTTAAAAAGACTCTGAAAAAAATGTGAAATTTCGTACGTGACTGAAATAAAGAAACTTAACGACTTACCACTGAAGCCTGACAAGATCTATGGATCGCGTACAAGCATGAGTTGTTAGACCCGTGGTTTTTCAAGTTATACCAATTTCCACCCGGCTTATTCAGGAAAAGACCCCGACGCATCCAGGCTTAGGGTTACAGTCATATCTACTTAAACTACACTTAAAATTTTATCATCGAAAATAGTCTGACATCCCGCCTGAGCGACGCCTTGTTGTTGTGATACAGACACGAAATCTGTCTCAAGATTAACCACTCAAATTATGTACATTTTAGCGGTAGAATACAAGTCATTTTAATTTAATTTCTAGCTCGTGATTACGGAATTATTGATGATATTTATACGATTGTAATCGCTTTTCGTGATCAGAGGAAATCTTCATCGCTCCTTTAGCATGTCTCCTGTGAAGAAGAGATCTTTGATACGACAGGAGAGTCATCATGTCCAAGTCTACTTCAGCGCAAATGAATTTCCAGACTTCGATGTTGTTTCTGATGTTTTCTACTTTAGGTAAGTCTCAAAAAAAGTTTGTTAGCAGAAATACCTTTTTAAACTTGAGGTATTCACAGAAACTGACAGATTCGCTCAAAGAATTTTTCGAAAAAAAAAAAATATGAAAAAAATTACCGCGGTATATCTCATAAAAAAATTGAAAACGACACAAGCCTCGATTCAATGTTGCAGGTAATATTCATGTAAGATTCAGTAAGCTTCAGAATTTCTGACTTTTTTGACAATGCTGGGTCGGAATATAGAGATACCCTTCTAAATTTTAGGAATCCTTTTTTGGGTGTTGGAAAGGTCATTTCCTATCAGTTCCATCATGAAACCCGCTCCAAGATTGTTATAATTCGATCTTAGGATAAAGTGCAATACTGAATGATATTCAAAGATTTCAATTTAGCTTAGTTCTTGGTTTAAAGAAACTCGCGATGAGAAGTAATATTTGCAAATACAACAAAGTTACTATTTAATTCTAACTTTTAAAAGGGGGACCTCGTTGATTCAATCTCCTAACTGGTTTTTTTCGAGTGGCAAAATCTCGAGAATCATTACCAGCGAAAAGTAAAGAATCTATATTTGTTTGTAAAGAGGTTGCTGAATTCAAAATTAAAAAAGAACTTTTCAAAATTATTCATGAAAAAGACGCTGTCGCCATGTGGTTTCTGAGGTTCAGCTCAGCTCCACAAAAAATTATTCGTAATTATTTTGTGGGGACGAAACCTGATTGAGCTGTGCATAGCAAATAAGGATTAAATAGTAAAACTCCTTTTTACATTTTATATTTGTTGATAGAAAGGGAATCTTTTCTGGATTTTAAACCGAAGTATAGTCCTAGAATCTATGTAGCGACAGTTTAAATCCGAACTAGTTGTGTCCCGACTAGAAATTTCCAGAACTTTGATACTCACCTTACTGGAGCATATAACAATAAAAATTGACATCCTTATCGCGTTTAATTAAAACATCATGAAAATTTAATGAATACAAAAGCGTTCCTTTTTCTCCTGGGTGCAATTTCCCGAAAGAACTACAACCACTTGCAAAAGTAGTTCAGGCATATTACTGTGACAAGAGAAAATTTTTAATGTATCACCTACCCTCTATTGTTTGATCTAACACCAAATTCTCGGAGCTAAAATTACGAGAAATGTATGGCTGGTGGTGAGGAAAATTGTACGTTATTATGATCTTGGAGGGGAGAGAGTTTGGTATCTCTCTCTAATTTGCGTTCTTGTTCTCTGTGTCAGTTTTTCAAATGATGGTTCAAATAACTGATGGCGATGTCGGCTCCTGCAGTCTCCACATGTATTTTTATGAAACCCGGAGCAGTTGTGAGACTCCTTTTTATCGGAGACTTCAGCTTGGTCACACAGCCAACTGCAGGTGAGAGAGGCATGTTACTTCTAACAATAAGTGTTATTCAAAGAGAGCCTTCTCTCCGATTCTAGACTAAAGTTTAAATAACCTACTCCTTGTCGCAAAAGGGATGTCCCTTTATGAAAAATATTGAGGAGCTTGACCGTCTAAATTTCGAAACTATGCCCCCTAAGTGATGTGCTGAGAGGGCCCTCTGAGAGACTAAAGTTTACATCACCGCTTTCCCTCCCCCAGCCTTTCCCAAGAAAAGGGCCACCACATGGAAAATATTGGGTAGTTCGTCGGAGGTTTGTTTTAATATCTTTAAGTAATGTCGTAGAGTCTCGTAAAACAATCCGTTCGCTTGCCCTAGGAGGGCCTAAAGTTTATGTCACCTATGTCAGCTTCCCCCCATGCCCCCAGCCTGTCCTGATCGAGCTAGGAGGAGTCTCCCATTTGAAAATTATCGGAAGGCATATCAGAAGTTTGAATTAATCTTCTGAGAGTAGCTAAAGTCTCATTTGATTTTTTTAAAGGTAAAAAACGATGAGTCAAATATTACCGTATCGTCCCAAACACTCGTCTTTGGAGACAGCCCAGCATCACTCAGATCTCCATGCGATAGTGCTCCCCGCCCGGACTCATCTCGGCTATCTACCCGTCTAATTTCATTTAAAAAAATCAGTGTATCGATCTTCATAAATAAAGAGACTGTATTAAGCATTAGGAAAAGGCTGTTTAAACCAGTCTGAATCAATTTTAAATTTCTCTTGACAGTGATAGTTTTGAAAGTCTCATTAGTTGCATCAAGAACGTCACTCGCGTTTGTGAACACAGTTGGCGAAGTGATAAATGGATAGACATGGACGTCAGATTGAAATTCAGGAGGCAGTTTTATTGTCATGATGGGGCTTTGATTCTTCCCATGGCTTTGTGTAGGAGCGGTTACTACAGAAAAGGTCCGAAATGCGTGCGAGAGTTCCATAGGAAGTTTCGAAACGACACCAGTGACCCGTCGCTGTGCGAGTAAGTGGCTTTTAAGGAGACACTTCTGGGGGCCGATCGAGCCTTAACGTTTCTTTGA